GGAATTCAACTTGCAATTGGTGGAGGAGCGTCGGAAGTCGTAGCACATTCCGATTCGCAGTTAGTCGTTGGACAAGTATTGGGAAATTGCGAAATCAAAGAAGAGCGAATGATGAAATATGTTGAAGAAATCCAAAGCCTTGTGCAGGGCTTGGAGAAGTTCGAACTAACGCAAATCCCTCGGGAAGAAAACAAACGAGCAGATTGGCTTGCGAGAATAGCAAGCTCGAATGAGGGGAAGATGGGAAGTTCTATCACTACTATGCACTTAGAAGGGAGCGTGTTGGGCGAGACAATGGAAGTCGAGGAAAAGGATGATTGGAGAAAGCCGATTCACGAACTCCTGCAGGGTCAAGTACCTACAAGAGATAAGCAGGAAGCAGAAAGGGTGGCTCGGTATCTGAGCAAGTACTTTGAAGTCGAGGGGGTCATGTTCAAAAAATCGCTGGTCGGACCTCACCTGCGATGCGTCTCTGAAGATGAAGGAAATTTCGTTTTAAAAGAAATCCATGAAGGATGTTGCGGAGCACATATAGGATCACGCGCCTTGGCGGGCAAAGCCCTGCGAGCAGGATATTATTGGCCCAAGATGCGAGCGGCGGCAGAGCAGCTGGTTCAGAAGTGCGAAAAATGTCAACGACATGGGCAAATCACTCACATCTCCGCCGAGTACATGACGACCATAAGCACCCCGATCCTCTTCGCGCAATGGGGAATCGATTTGGTAGGACCGCTACCGATGGGGATGGGACAGAAGAAGTTTCTTGTAGTCGTTGTAGACTATTTTACCAAGTGGGTCGAAGCAGAATCATTGGCGAAAATTACAGAGGAAAAGTTGATCCAATTCTTGTTTAACAATATCTGTTGCCGATTCGGAGTCCCGAAGGTGCTAATTTCTGATAGAAGAAGGACGAGAGGAGGCCTGGGTGCGATCCATGGAATATAAGCAGAAGATGCGTGCCGCCTTCGATAGGAAAGTCCGTACCAGACGATTTCAGGTTGGAGATCTCGTCCTCAAACGAGCAGATGCTCTAAAACACGTCGGGAAGCTTGAAGCCAACTGGGAAGGACCATACACAGTCACCAAGGTGCTCGAGAGAGGCGCATATGAACTTGAAGATATGGAAGGACGACAACTGCCGCGATCTTGGCATGTTACCCATCTCAAGCGCTTTTATGCTTAATATTCTCAAATTTGCTTTTTGTACTGAACCACGATCAAATCATATTCAGTAATGAAATGGATTTTGAATATTCTCTTCAGAGATGTCTATATTTATTTATTACATAATTGTTGGATACACTGAATTTTCCGAAACTATATCGCCAGCTAATCATGACGACTATAAAAGTCGACTCAAGCAACAAAGTTGCATGCCTCGAGTAAAATCTCGGCAAGGCTAAAAAGCCCCCGACTACAAAAGTCGACTCAAGCAACAAAAGTTGCATGCCTCGAGTAAAATCTCGGCAAGGCTAAAAAGCCCCCGACTATAGAAGTCGACTCAAGCAACAAAAGTTGCATGCCTCGAGTAAAATCTCGGCAAGGCTAAGAAGCCCCCGACTATAAAAGCCAACTCAAGCAACAAAAGTTGCATGCCTCGAGTGAAATCTCGGCAAGGCTAAAAGCCCACGACTATAAAAGTCGACTTAAGCAACAAAAGTTGCATGCCTCAAGTGAAATCTCGGCAAAGCTAGAAAAACCTGCGACTGCAGAAGTCGACTCAAACGACAAGTCTCATATAATCCGTTTAGGGCTGCAAAAACACTAACTACAAAATATGAAAGCAAAGGGGATGTCGACAAACCCACAATCGCACAATTGCAAATAAAAACTCGAATACATGAACGTTGCAGGAACATAACGACTTGAGCCAAATGAAATGAAGAGTAATATATAAAAAAAAATTCATTACAAGAGTCGTCTCAACCTTTAC